ATATATATATATATATATATATGCGTGGTACATAATTATGTATGCATATAAATAAATGTTAATTCTTCCGGTTGTTCGAAAAGTATCCTAAACTCGTTAATGTGTATATAATATATGATATAAGTCAAACTGTAATCAAGTTGTAGTTTGAACAAAATTACAACATTTTTTCTATACAAATTTAATTGCACGTAATCATTTTAAAACATTTTATTGCAACGTTTTTACAGACTATTTTCTAATAAAATGTAAAGTAGACATATGCATACTGCAGGCACTTAAACATAGTATACGTTGGTCTACTTATTCGGGTCAAATCGTTAAAATAAATAAATTAAAGCCATAGATCAAAACTGGCTACAAAAATTCTATATACAAATGAGCAAGCCAGATGTACGATTATTACACATATCATCAGGAATACAAAATAGATGTATTATGTATTCCTGATGGTATATCTAACATAGATTCACTAACTGCAAAATAACAACTGTCAGCTTTTGCGTATGCATTTTTCCCAGTTGCTCCTATGCTCAATAACGTGTGACAGTGATGAAAGGGGTGCAGTCCTGCTACTCACTGGCCGGTTCTTTGGAATGTCCACGTGAAAACTGCCGTACTCCTTCCACAGGCTTTCAGAGAAGAAAGACATCAAATCTGGTTCGGGCTCCTATTAAATGAACCAAAAAATCCAAGTAAAACCTCGGAAATTTTAAATATCAATAATATTTCTGTAGGTGTGAGAGATTTCATTAGTGTTTATGCAGTGATCCAAAATCAACCAACTTTCAAACAAATGTTAAAAATCTGCCAGGCACACTTTTTTTCACTCACAAATAACTTGAAAAATACAATAATACAAATACACAATAACTCAGCACAATTGAGCATGAAGCACTGTACTGAAATGTCTGAATGTCTTAAAGGAATCATTTAGAAATCATTGTTTTTTAATTAAAAAATCTGGAAAAAATATAGCGAAATATAGTCTCACCTAATAGCAGATGTTAATAATTACATCAACTTGAAAACACTAAAAATTTATACTGTTATAGCACAGAAAATTGGAATTGAACACAATTGAATATTATGGCATATATTTGATTATAGTGACAATTAATTTGCAAAAGGTGCTTCCAAAAAAGTGCACCCATACACTTGCACCCATAGTGCACCTAGTTCAAACAATTTGAAACATAACTTATCCCTGGCTGATGTCTCGCGCTATCGCTAGATAGTCCGAGATTTGCAAGAAATGGCGGCGAAAATCAAAACGAGTATTCAAAATTCGAATCGTCCATGTTTTGGTGAATATAGCTAAGGTTCTAAGACATGTTAGCGCTATTCGAGACAGTTGTTGTTACTCAACCAATAACGGCAAGTATCATAAAAGCGGGGTAAACACGAGACCAGTCGGAAATCATTTTTGAAATCCTTACTTGAATACAAGAACCTCGACATATCTCACCCGTTCTGTGGATGGCTTGAATGATTTTGAGGGCTTCACGCGAGCTAGTCTAGCTTGAGCCTCCTCCGCCAGTAAACGATCACGGGAGACGTCCAGGGTTGTAAGACCCTCGAATAATTGACCATGCACGTTGACAGATTTGGCGACCTGCAGTCATACAAACATCTCAAACTATACATCTATTTATATAAACTATATATATATATATTTTGTCTACTCGGAACTGCTGAACCGATGTGAATAGCGAAGCACACAATGAAACAGAATCTTAATGTAGTCTTTCATATCAATGTTCATGATATAGATTACAGGTTGAAGCATTTCATCAAAATCATTCATAGTAATCGGACAACTACATCCCATGCACGACTTGTGACAAAATGTACAATCATATCCCCATCACTCCCCAACAAACTGTGAATTTACAGCTCTTAACTCGTAATAATACCGTATTACAACTGGTTATAAACTAATCAAATATACAATGTGTAGTAATAACAGGTCCATAAGTTACTATATGCCCAAATTGTTGATGACTACAACGGCTCTGCAAGGAAAGAATCTGCAGCCAAGCTAATTGCCTGAGGATTAGCTACTAACCATCTCACACAGATGCTGCTGGGTCTCATACGACTCTTCCAGTTTTCTCCGAACAGCTTCGTCCGCATCAAATTCTTCTTCTCTCACTTGCTGAAGCTCTTGAATAAGCCTCAGCGTGGAATGAAACTCGGGCCTTCCCAATGCATGCTCTTCTGTTCCAGCAGCTGTCTGGTAATAACCAGGTGGCGCCATTGCGAGTGATGAAGAAGACCTCGTCTCTAGAGCTCCCTTAACGACTTTCGTCTTTACTTTGCTTCCGTGGGTCATAGACGCTGATGCACATATTGCGTTTTTTCTGCCAGCAATACGCGTTGCTCCCTCGACCGGCCGACGTGACTTTTTCAGCGAATGGCACTTAAGCTGCGGCTGAAACTCGTTGGAATTTGTAATGAACTGCTTTACGTTAACACTCTGTGATTGGTTATCATTTCGCCCAAGGTCGAAAACAACTTTCCTCTCATTGACAGTGTATTCCTTCGCACGCCTATCTGCAGCATGGGAAATCAAGCCGATGCCGCACTGAGTTTTTTCAGGTGTCAATGTAAGTTGCGGGTCAGGTGTCGCTGCGATTCTGTGAAGCGGTTGTGGACGAGGACACATGTCATACGGCTCCTCGTAGAATGCCATCATTCTTTATGCTGATGACAAGTGATGACAGTCACCTGAAACAATTTCCAGAGTATATATATAACTTTATGTTGTGATATTAGTGTTTGTTTTACATTAAACTTTTTAGCACGGCCCATTCAGTTCGATTGTGTTTCTGTAATTCTTAGATACCTCTAAATGTGTATAAGTGAACGCTGCGAACAATGATTCAATAGGCCGTAGCATATATATATATACACAAACACATGGATCGCTGAATTCCGCATGCTAACGATCAATCACATTGGGCGATGTGGCGCCACCAACAGGTGTAGTTGCACAGAACACTTCCGGTATCTTCTGCTTATGGTGTTTACATCTGTAAACCGGCCTCCCAGCCACAGGCACTTGAGCATTTCAATAATAAAATGATAGTAAATAAACACAAATTGTATTTACTAACAAAGTCTTAATGTTTATCTACTCTCTATCACCTGTTATTAGTAATAACAAGAGCCAATAACACCCAAATATTAGTAATAATAATAGGTATTATTAGCTCTTGCTAATACTTATCTGTAAATTCCTTTTAAATGCTCCTCCACAACACGCTATCTTACCGCACGTATGCCACTGCACACAGCCACACAAACGGGTTGTTTCGGTGAGTTTGTACACAGGAAGATATGTTTCTGTGAATTTGTATCTAGATAAAGTATACCTGGGCCAGCGTAGTTACATTTGTACTGGAGTCACGTTTAAATCATTACATTAGCCCAGCTTTACACAGAGTAGCAATTTGGCAATGCTACAGAGTACATCGCCGTTCAATCGAATACAATATTTATGGCACAATTCCAGCTTAGCAGCCCAGCTTAGTTTGGTACATTTGCAATGAAAGTGTCAACACTATAGCTCACCACAAAAAGGTACACAAATGAGCGAGTGCCAACAAGTAATTTTTAATTCAGCAACTATCCACCTACATTATATAAAACAAGAGTATATATAGGAGAACTAAAACAATAAAATCGAATAAATCTAA